CCCCCCCCCCCCCCTGTGATGACTTGACTCCCTCTGCCTTGTATGTAGCCGAGCTCTAATACAGAGCAGAAACATCAACCCCAACCCCTTCGGTTCTCGAGCTAGCTCGCCAGCCTCCCTCCCCCCGCCCGAACCAAAACTTCGTAGATACATGCCACGTTTCAGAACTTAGATTCCGCCCCTGGCTCGAACCAAGCTTCGAGAACGCTTAAGGCGCTCCCGACACATGTAGTGGCATTCTGCCGCGTGTAGTAGTAGATTCCACCGCACTATCCAACCCTCCCAGCTGCATTCGCCGGACGCTTGTTCCCGCGCACGGCGGGTCGGGCGCGTCTCCAAGCCGAGGGTTTCGACCGTGCTCCCCTCAGAGCGTGCTCTTCCGCGTCAACCATCACTTTCCCCATACCTTTCCTCTCGCACGCCATCTTTGTCGTAGCACCCGCCGTCAACCATTCCCCTCCTCCCCCACCCCCGCCCTTCCTCCTTTGATTTTTTACTTGAGTTGTACCGTCACGCGGAGATCACCGCACGCGGGCTCCGTGGCACCGTCGGCGGCGGCGAGGCTCATGACCATGTCCCTGGGCTCCATCGCACCCTTCACCGATGACAGCGGAACCTCGATCTTACCGAGGCATTGGTCTCTGCAAGACGCAAGACGGGAAAAAAAAAAAAATCGAGGGGAGAGGGGGGTGTTTCACGCAATGTTGCGAGTCGGTAGACCATAGACCTTTCCTCATCGCTACAATGCCGGGACGGAGGACCATGTGAAGCTTTTCGCAGGCCCCCCGGGTTTAGATATGTGTGTGTGTGTGTGTGTGTTTGTGGAGGAATCGCTCGAAGGCGACAACAGCAAGCGGGGTCATCTTAACAGCAACCACCGCCAACAGACCAAGAGCACCCATCCCGGCTACCAACGCCAGCACAGCACCAACACCTCAAGACAAAATCACATCAACAGCAACAGCACCGAAACACCGCCGTGAAACGTGCCACGCCCACTCTGCTTTCTCTGCAGAAAGACTCCGCTTCAAGACACGATACTTCTAACACATGACGCACCTGCCCATCGCGCGCTTGTTGCACACCGTCACCACCAGCTTGGCGTCCAGGTGCTCCACCTGGGGGATCGTGACTCCCTCGTTCCACACCGGGTTCGCGGTGCCCGTCTGATGGAAAAAAAAAAAAATGTGGATAGTGTTTCAGCAAAAAGTAGCAGGGTACACGCCGGGAAAATTCCCGGCGTTTTTTTCCCGCCGTGGTGGGCGGTCCCGGTACTGGCGGTAATCACCGCCACATTTCGGTGGTACCGGGAACCGCCGAAGGCGGTACCGCCGAAAAACGAAACACCGCCTTCCGCCTAATCAGAACCGGCATATTGCGTGACCGCCCAAAAAGTACCGCCAAAACAACGAAGACCCGGGAACCGCCTAATAGGAACCGCCATTTTGCAGTACCGTCGGAAAATTACCACGGTACTGCAATACTGCCAAATTAGTACCGCCGTACTGCAGTACCGCCGTATTGGAGTACCGCCAGAATGGAACCGCCGTGAGGGTGCTCGTGGGTGGTGGAATACCGTGGGGTAGATTTCGAAAGACAAGGAAGGGTTCAAATCTCGCTGGGTGTCGTTTTTCTTTTCTTTCTTTTTTTGAATATGACTAGTACTCAGTATGTACATACATATTTTGTTTTCTCTTTTTGCTTTCTTTTTGGTTTTGTCATGTTCCTGTTCGGTGGAACCTCTTTTATCTTTCCCGTGATGCTGCCGTGATGCCGTGATGGGTGCCTCCTGCCCAAGCACGCACACTGCCCCAACGCCCAGCAGAGCAATGACCGCGTTATATGGGAATCCCGGTGCTTCTAGTAGCGTAGAGCACACCTTTTTTTCATGTTTCACTACCGCCAGGTAAAAACCGCCATATTTTGGCGGTACCGGGAACCGCCGAAGGCAGTGCCGCCATGTTTCAGTACCGCCATATTTGGCAGTACAGTCGTCCCCGCTTTAAAGACACCATTTTGAAGACATTCCCCGCTTTAAGGACACAAAAAATCTCAGAAACATGGGGCCCCGCAGATGTGAGAAAGTAGGGCGGGGGTAGGGTTTTCCACCATTCGACCCCCCTAGAAAATGTGCTGCAGCACCTGTAGATCCTGAGTCATCAACAGCGGTCTGCTGCAGCCGCACACTGCGTGTGGGTGTATGGAAAGATTCATTCCATCTGCTAGCGGTTCGTCTGCTGCCGGCTTGAAGCCATGCGGCGAACCGACGTGCCAGTTCAAATCTGCACTGACTGGTGTCACTGGTTCATCAGTGTCCGTGCGGGCGACCCATGCACGCGGTTTGTGGTCGAGGCATCGGAGAGGAAGGCCACGGACAGCAGAGAGAGTGCTCGGATTGCCAGGACAGCGGTTGTGTTGTGCTGTGCCTCGTTTTGACCTTTTGGGAGGCGCGGTGTCCTCCTTGTCGCTGTGCTTTCCCGACATTTTTTGGTCTCTGTGTTTCTGCGTAGCCTACATTTTCCTAGTGTCGTTTTACACCGTCGATATTTCTCAGGTGCGGTAGCGAGATCTTGGGCAAGATATTCACGGCGAGGACGACGCCCAAAAAATAAAATAAAGCAAATAATTAAGCCCATATCAACACCAGCGCACTAGCGTCGTGTACATGTACGATGCGTAGGTCGTAGAACACCATCGCTTTCAGCGTTTTGGTGGTACAGTACGGGGAAATTCAAACGATGGTATGCAAGTATGTACTGCAGTACAATAGCAGCAGTGGTTGGGACCTTCAAATCACCTTGTGTCGTAGGCTTCAAACAACACCTCTTGTGGTCGCCTTCCTGCTGCGAATGCGCACCTTTTGACATATGTTTCGCCTTCATTGGCCCCGGGGATGGTGCCTTCGTGGCCCCGGAATTTTAAAGACACTTCCCCGTGTTATAGACACATTTTTTTTTGGGAAAACGTGGTGTGTCTTTAAGCGGGGTCGACTGTACCGGGAACCGCCGAAAAAAGCATCACCATATTTCAGTACCGCCAGAAAAATACTGCCATATTTTGCAGTACCGGGAACCGCAAAAGGTGGTATCGCCGGAAAACGAAGTACCGGGATCCGCCCAAAAAAAGTACCGCCACATTGAAATACCGCCGCGCCTGTATCCGCCAAAATAATCGGTACCGACGTGTACCCTAAAAAAATAGCGGAGGCGCGCCCGG